GTTTTTTTCAATGGCTCGTCGTAGTGTGATTATTGTGAAGATGACGGCAACCGAACACGTCGCATTACCTCCCTTGGCGCCAACGCGTGCTTCGCTCAAAAATGTATTTTTTTTTTACTGCGGATTTCTACTTTTTTTACTGCGACCTATCTTTCGTGGACCATTATCTATCGCTTTAGAAACAGCCTAATTTCATTGCATTTATGTAAAATTTCGCAGACGAAAACAGGATCGAGTAATTTTTTTTTGCCTCAATTTGTGTAGTATTTAAAAATCTAGTTTATGTTACGGCCAACAATAGTTCGATCTTTGGCGATATCATGGCGACTCAAATTTTTAGAACAATTCTTTTCATAATTGCTCAGCCATGACGAAATGCATCTTCAACATGGACATTGCCGGAATGAAGGCAACATAAATATATTTAGGTGTTTCTTACGACATCTTGATCAAAGACAGCACACATTTTTAATGGCCGGCATTTGTGTCTTCATCGTAACAAAATTGGAAAAAAAAACATCGCATTTTTGCTAAAAATGTTGCTCATCTCCAAGGTGCCCTGTCGTCTGACTCCCATAATTTGCCTGCTGCCAAATCTGAAGTTTCAAGTAACACCAGCGCGGACCTGATGATACTTCACTGCTGTGCTAGCTAGGATATGTGATGCGAAAACTATTTAGCCGTAACAATGGTCAATACTTTTTTCGATAAATTAATGGCTGCAGTGTCATGTTTTTGTCTTTCGTTATATATATATATATATATATATATATATATATATATAACGAAAAGGTGTAGAGAAGTGCAGGTACTAATGAGTACATATGTAGGCTATATAGGCTGCTTATGAGGATCAGTTAACCGGCTAACTGAACAATAGTAATACATCCCGTTGATCGGAATCGTCGGTACAGGTTCTCCATCGTCAATTTCCTCTCGAATGTGCGTGATATGTCTGGCTATTAGTGAGGGAGGCGTAAAAAGTGGGATTTCCCAGAGAGAGAGAGAGAGAGAGAGAGAGAGAGTTGTCACAAAAACGATATTATTTCAGGGACCAGCCGGATATACCTCCCTATGAAGGCCAGAGACAGAGAGGCCGCAACTCTGGCTGATGGCCAATAAGTTTTTAAACCCATGGAGTAATTTGAACGGTTTTGTGTCAAGGAGTTTGCTTACCATTAAGATCGTCAAGATGGAAGAGCCAAACAGTTGCGCGAACAGGCGCTCTAGGTGGAAAATTGACGACGGAAAGCCTATACCCATGATTCCGTCCAGGTGGGCTACTGTAGTCTTCACATCGCCGATGTTGAAACAAGCTAAACGCTGCCTCATGCGCCGATCTCGGCAATAGCTTACATTATCTATGACTACGCCGGCTTTAAACGCCTAACGGTCCTCGAAAACAGACAACGTCTCTTTTGCGATTCAGGCTGTTACTCTATGGGTTAGGAACAGGTGAAACACACGAGTGTCGTAGCTTATACTTACCAGAACGAACGAAGCGCACGCAATGCAGCTCCATAAAATCTTGGTGAAAGGTCGTACTGGTGGATCCGCAGCCAGTTGAGGTGGCCAGCGCTCATTTCACTCGTTCGCAAACTGCGTACATAATCCTGCTCCGTGAAGAAACGGGACACTAGTCTGCGGACGGCCAAGCTCGGATGGCCACCTCAATGACAGGGAACGGCCTGACTAATCACGACAATATCGAACGGAGACCCAGATCCTGAAATTGGGAAAAGACAATTAAATATGCAATATTTGAGTATATATAATATAATAATGTACCACCGAACGGATCATTTACATCTTGTTTAATGTTGAATCTCTTCGTTTTTTGTGCTACACTCAGGTTTTGCTGAAATTTGAGAAGTTATCACTTAAAAAAACAGTAACCTGATTATATCAAGCGTTCAGAGTGACCGTTGATCACCTTTCGAGGTGTTTTCGGTATTTCTACTTTTTTTAAGGACTGAAACTCCTTAGCACCGATATCCCCACAGTGGGCAATAAGTGGTGGAGATCGGCTTCTAACGTACTACGTGTGGATAGTGTGATAAGGTCTGCGTTGGTTTGACAACGAACTTCCGCTATTCCCTGCACAAGTCCTACGAAATCCAAGGACCTCTGTTGAACCCTTCAGTTTGGTATTGTACGCGCTGATTTTTATCGTGCAGCTAAAAGACACGTAAACAACGAACTTCAAAGCCGCCGTATGTTAACAATCACTCAGATATTATAGAGCTGTTATAAAAGAAAAACAAACTATAACTGTTTTTCCCCAAACTAAACTGGAGCTGCTCGTGGCTCCTCAGCGCTTGAGCAAGTATCAATTCTCTTACTTTTCTTTTCGCATGTCCCCGAAGCTTTCGTCAACCCTTCTTCCTTACAAGCAACTCAGTGGTCCCCTCTGAGTAGTCCAGTATAAATGAACGAATACCAGTGTTCTCTAGTTTGTCGCGACCAAGTAGGCTCTGACCCCATCTCCAACTCTCTTCAGGCCGTATCCGCATACTTTACTTTTTTTTCTTTTCAGCCGTAAATTTGTTTTTAATGGCGGCTGTGCCCGTTACACAGTACCAATACTATCAACCTTTTCCTTAAGTCCTCAAACATCGCAAACAATTTCTAACGCTTGCGTTAGCATTCGTATAGAACACTATTTTTTTAATTGGTCGTTCCCTGACGCTCGTAGAACGGTTATCGTGAGCTCAATTTATGAAGGCCAAGACCCTAAAGATGATCGCAGTTCCTACTAGGTCAAAAACCTCTTTCTTTTTGAGAAAATCTTTCAACGATGCGTGGGTAAGTTTGAGTCCTACCACGACGCCAACGCACTCCTATCTCCCTACCAGCTTTTTTAGGGCATTTTTTACCGGGGCAAACCTGACGATTCGGCGGTTCAGGTGTTTTTTGACGTAACTATCTAGTTCATGCAGTTCTTTTGCGACTATTACCTAGCCCAGAAATAGCTGACACTACCTGTTTGCGATTTTCCCAGTTATAAAATCAACCGATTCAACCACTTGGAAACTCCATCTGCCTCTGTGCAGCGTCCTAAAGACACTGGTTAGGATGTTGTCCCGAAGTCCATTACATTTTTCTTCAAGGTTAATTCTTTTATACATGTAGAATATTTGCATCTGTACCAGAGCTTTGCTGATGACACCCCGATACTGAACAAAATTAGAAGGCGCTCAGTCGCCGATGATCAGGCGCTAGCTAACGTTAACGTTTCCGCTATATTCGATGTCCAGCGCTCCCTAAAGCTTGCACCCTATGTCTCCAAAATATCAGCGGTAATTGCAAGTATACTCGTTCTGCGTGTTTAACTGCTCGCTTCAGATTAATGATATCGTTCCTCTTTTTAGCCATTTCCTACAGAGTCGCCTCATTTCCAAATGCCTCCGTTTTATCTTATTTGGAATCATTCTTATTTGCTTTAAGCATTTGTCGCTCTATGTGCTTGTCTGGGGGACGGACACAAAAGGAAGCTCAATATTTACACAGCAATGCCATACGTGCCATTCCCCATTCCAATATTTTCCAATGCCAGAGTATAACAAAAATTACCTTTCAGGCTTTTATCGTACCTAGATTACCTAGATATCGTACCTGAAACCACAAATCTCATGTTACGCTTATTTACTGTATCCCCCTTACGCGCTAGTATCTCACGATATCGGTTGTCTATATATATATGTATATATATGTATAAATAATACAAATTCACCGCGTTAGTCATAGCTGCCTCCCACGGTAGACATTTTAATTAGCTAATTAGTCTAGTACCGTTAAATCTAGCCGAGTACTATCTAGCTAACTGATAACCCGTTCCTCTCCTCCCTCCATAGAAATTGTCATTCCTATTTTTGCTGGTTTTTACTTTACCTTTTCATATATATCCCTGCAACCGAGTCAACTATACTGCCACTTACTAGCAGATACCTTGACAACGGACGAAGCAGCTTGATCTATACAAACAACACATGCTTTGTATTAGATTTAGTTCGAATGGAAATGGCCGGCAGAGGTCTTAACAACTTAAATTTCCAGGACGAAACAACATGTGTGCCCACATTCGGATCTAAATCCACGTGTCCGTCAAATATACACTACGCCAACCATCATCGGGAGGATCTAAACGACGTTTATACGCAACTTCTCGGACATCCTACTTATGCCCCCATGCCAATTAAGACAGATGGTCAGACTTGAGACAGCTGCGTAGCAGGACAGAAACGCAGAGCAAAAACCCGGAAGCCTTAGCCAGCCTAAACGGATTAAGTGTACTAACTATTTGATATAGTAAAATGTTTTTTGGATAGTTTCGACGTAGCATGGAGCTCAAGAGGGCCAATCGGTGTATTGATAAATATAGTAGATATATGGCTGATAATTGGAACACTTCTCACAGGCTTTTCGATAATCACCATCGCAGGTTCTAAAAAAATTTATCTTCACATTGTAAGCAAATGATTATGATGGGGCTTTGGTAATAAAAAGTGTTCTAATCAAATGTAACTACTTGGTGCTAATATTTCTGTTTCAAGTACCTACTCCGGTTATCCATACTGTGATCTTTCGACACTGACACTAATAGAGGGTGGTCTATAAAACGGAAGAATGTATTCGTAGCGTTATGCGCTACACAAACAGTGAAGACATCATATGATCTATGGTATCATACGATATTTTGCAGTTGGTTGCGAACTTGTACAGGATGTGTTACAACTAACTTCGTAACAAAGCAGGCCGAAAGCTCTAGCCCCGAACCCGAGGTAGGCCATAGGCTCTAGTTCACTAACACCGTCGGCGTTTTATATTATCTCCTTCTTCATTTAAGTGCTTTCCACTCTTGCAGCTGACAAATCGCGTGGCGTATACACTTCCTCATAGTAGCGCTGTGCCACTTTCCTTTACCCTCGTTATTTATCGGCCGCGATCACGGCATGACTGAGCCACAGACATCAGGCCGCTGTTAGCCATTGCGCTGAGTCCGTGTGTTCTGATAAGAAGCGCTCAGTCCGAACAAGACTGTGGGTTTGAGCATTCTATGTGAGACCCTCGAGTACGCATATCGGGTGAGCTGACCATACAAACACCCTTTCTCTTAGACCGGTCGTGTACTGCATGCGATATCCTAAGAATTAAAAGGCCTGACGATTTCCTTTATCTCCAAGCAGATGTTGTATCTATGTAAGTTGGAATATGCACGGAATGTTTACGTTAACCCTAAGGAAGGTAATTATGCTTTCTTCCCATTCACTTCTTCTTTCTGAAGCCTTACTTTCACCGTGCACACGCAGATCGTTTTGTTTACGTGTTACGTGAATCCAATCCTCTGCATCACTTTAGTACGCAAACGATTCTTATGATGATTTAGTCATTATAAGCCATTCCGTTCTTACAGGAGATATCCAACACAACAAATTTGTAATGTAACCCAACTCGATGCGCTCACTCTCTGTACTTGAATATAAACGACACTTAGATCTCATCGTACCCGCCGTAAGGGTGCTTCGTGGCACCAGAACATCAGAGCAAGTAGTAGAAGACATTTTTTTCATTTAAATTTAGGTTTTATCTAAGCATGATCCAACAATGTGCAGCTTGTAAAATTAGCAAAACATGTGACGCTAAGCAAAGATTGACATGTTATTTGTAGAAATATTAGAGCAGTAGATTTCCGGGCAAAAATTATTATTATTGTACTTCATTTATTAAGTGATACGTTATAAAACGGTGGGGAGCTAAGCAGTTCCCTCATTTCTACAGGCAGTTACGGTCATAAGGACGTGCCTTTTAAGTTACCGACTGCGCAGTTCGTATATGACCTTTGTTAAGTTGAGTTACGCTGTAAACGTCCGTAGATTTTAACACTGAACATCTTATGACAACATATATATCTTGCAAAACTACCGCACACACGTGTCTTCCCTGGTATCTTTATGGATAGCTGTTTATTGCGAAACGCCTCGTCCTAAAATCTAAATGAACTAATCAGATATAAGTTCCACTTTACTCTGTTCGTTCACATTCAACAGCATCGCAAAATAGAAGTTGCATGAACAAATGCCAGTAGCCCACTCGAGGTTACCCTGCAAATTAAAATCGACACAAACGCCTCATTTGTGTCGAATTAAATCCTCTGTAGAACTTTTTTTTTTTTGCCCTATCAAATAGAATTACTAAAAGGCTTAGAGTTTGAAAGTATAAAAATCTGCTAATAATCTATGAATCTAAGAATGAATAGGATACGTTTAATGGAGAGGGAAAACACTTTTTTTTTAACGGTTTATTTCAACTTTTACAAACGTTCTTCCTGTCTTTTGATTGTAGGTGTATCGGAAGAGGCTGTTACAATTATCAGCGTTTAACTCTATTGCACGATGAATGAGATATCGCCTAGTACTAAAGAGCCTCAGCCGGGGGACGTAAGTTCTTACATTATTGATATCACAATATAGTAAGCGTTGTTGCGGTATAGATTCAAACCATTCTGATTCTATGATAGGACCTGTCAAGAAATTGTGGTAGGTAGCCATATTTAGACAGCACCCACTAAGTGGCTACTCATCAGTGTTATCCTCTATGTAGACCCTCAGTATTCGATGACCACAGGGGTTTTTTTTACGACGATTGGTTTGCGAGTCATCATATTCGAGATGCGGTACTTATTAAAAACGTAGTTGCAAGGTTCCGCCATTTCTGTTAATTAAATGTAAACAATAACAAACATCCTAGACCTTGTTTCGAAATACTGCTTTGCAGTAATCTTAATTTGTCTTTAATTATCTAAACGTAGGGTACACTAGTCATGTCTGCGTCACATGCAGTTTCACTTAATAGCTTACGCAAAAACATGCTTGGCAAGATCTAGATAGGTAAGTTTGCGCATTTTGGAGTTTCAACAACCTTATCACATACTACTTGAACTATGTCAGAAGAGTATACAAATTTAATTTTGGCCATCTTTTCATTCAGGAAGATTGTCAACACATACATTGTTTAGCCAAAGACGTCACAATTTTACATTGGCTTTCCATTGTCCTGGAACTACGTAATCGCTTAAAACTGAACAGCTCACCGTACAAAACTTCAGAAGTGAGCGTATTAACCTAAATAGCTCAATGATTAATGATGTCTAACGCTGGCTGACCCGTGGAAGGTCATGCTGATGCCCGCTAGGCCACAGACTCGGTCGTTGGATGCATGTAGAAATATGCGCGGATAAGGTGTTTACGAACGTACATATGATCGTTTAATTTTCCTATGTGTTAGTAAAATCTGAGACTCACTCTGTTGGCTCTTGCCGATGGTGTCGTTGCTGCTTGCATAGACATTTACATTTATATCTTGAAGTTGTTACATTACGACACCGCTCAAGCAGGTGAGCGCCTACGCAACTGTGCCCGCAAGCCTGGCTTTGGCGACCCTTAGATCTATGAAAATTAATGAGCCGATGCTAAAAATAACACGCTTTCCTAGTTTTCTACGAAACGAGTATTGGGTAAGTACTCGCTGCTACTATTATTAGCCCTTTTGCTGCTTCTCTTTTTTTGACAACTCTACCGTCATCAAAGACAGATTCAGCGGCTAAGAGGTATCCGGATTACGTGCTTAGTGCAACTCTATGACCATAGCTAGCGTACTGCATGCTTTATTAATTCTTTGAAATAATTAATTCATGTACAAAGAGGGCTATTGTAATTCATTTAATTACGTTTCAGTAAAAAGTGTTCATTGTCGCAATCGCTTTATACGACATGTTTCCTGGCAGCGTACATACAGATGTCGGCCTTCAGCCGACTGCTTCGATTTGAATAGCGCGGCTAATTGAGGACAAAGAAAAAAAACAGCGAGCCGGTAATAGTTTTGTCCCCTGACAAATGTTTGACAGCAGGCAACGCTGTTCAGAAGGCAAAACGAGTTCTCAACTGTGGTTTTAACAAAAAAGCTGAATTTGCCAGCGTGTAAAAAGCCGCGTGCAGAGGCCGTAGTTCAACTAAATAAAGCTGCGCTTTCATTTCGCTCTTGTATCGAAAAAGCAATATATCAATTATCGCTGACGACTACCGAAAAGTTCAGGGCCTTTAAGGTATGGGTGGTAGAGGGCGGCGTGGTCTAGACAACTAATGTACACGTCCCTGGGTGAGTTGACGTGGTAGCCAGAAACATGCGGCCGTCGCTAACCGCAAGCCGAGCAGCGATGCTTGACGAAATGTAAAATCCAGCTGAGTTTAACAGAGGCAGCAGAAAGCTTTATATATACATTTGTCGTACTCAAGACAGGAAAACTTTGAAAGAAACACACGTAACCTCAAGGTCTACAGATACAGCTAAAACTACGATATATCCTGTGCTTTTGCACTTTGAACTTGCGATAACTTAAATTCCAGTTTGACGTTTTTTCTTACCCTGCCGGTCGTAGGTGTACGGATTCAATTGTACTCATTTCCCTCCGGGGCTATAGCCTGTCAGAAAATGACAAAAAGTAAAGTGTTTGCGTTGTGAGGTAATTATTTTAAATGGACAATAGATATGGACGGTTTCCACTGAACCCAAACTAGTGACCCTTTTATGGTTGATCTAGGATCGCTTCTACGTTGTGTTAGTCAGTGAGCTTCGCGGCACGAATATAGACACCGATCATAAACGCGTAATGGAGTTTACCTAGTTCCTTTCAAAAGCATGCATTTGTCTCGAACTCAGTGTTGCTCTATATGCTATGGCCTAACTGCGTATGGCTGTTATTTACTACCCTAGTTACATCATCTTTTGTTTCCCAATGCGTACATAATAATCTACTTGTTTAGTAATGATGAGTAGAGAGCAGTAGCAGGTTTTCTTTTTTTTTTTTGCCCCGGTTATCTCTAAATATGCTAGAACAAATTGCCACTAGATTTGAATACTTTCAGATCAGATGAGAATGAGATATTATTATCGGTGTTATTCAGGACGTAGCTTGGCGATCTCTATACCTTTTTAAAGTACACCATCAGACTGAGCATGGTCGTTACTCAGAAGCACGCATTATTGCTATAAGCAGAAATTTTCCCATCTGCTTAAAGTCGGACTGTAATTTATGTTAAACACTGATGGCAATGTAAAATAGCGTATATAATATGGTAGTTATATATCCATCAGTTTCAACAAGAGTCAATTAGCTGCTCTGGTCGATATAACCCATTTGTTTTTCATTTAAATATCTCTCTGCCAAAGTACTTCCATCGCCACTGATAGCGAACACGGTGGCGGATCGCCACTTCCTTTGCTGTTTTACTCTGTACCGTTAGACGATTAGTCCACGCTGTCGTTTGAAATATAATTTTGTAACTTTTGTTTGTGCTTAATAAGCCTTTGTTTGCCGCTCATTCTACGGACACATGTCACCTTGTCGCAAAACATTTGTTTCAAGCGTCTAAATGCTCTCATCTTTTCACACAACCATATACCATACATTTCTGGTTCTTAAAGACCGTTCTCTTTCTAGCGTAAGGGATCACCAAAATATCCGCATGTCTTCGTACGCAGTCGTCTGGAAATTCATAAAAAGAGCGCGACTACCGTGACCACTCGTTGGTAATTTGTGTTTTTCTTTGTACCGGCCGATGATTTATCCCTATATTTGTGGCTGATTGAGAACGAATTCGAATGCGGAAAAGCTCCCACAGTCGTTCCAAACTCATACAAAATGTAATGATTGTTTTTACATCAACATATTGCCTATGGCGTTTGGCACACAATCGAAGCCCACGTTCATAACGTGACGCGTCAAAATATGTGGGCGATTAAGATAAAAGAGACTCCAGTTGGCTGACAAACGTTGCTAAATTAAGCGCGCTAGATACAGACGATTGTTATCCTATCTTTTGCTGAAAGGCTTAATCTAATATTGAATCATGTAATTTCGGCTAGCCGGCTTTATTCAGTATTATCAGTACGAGATCACAAGCGCAATTTAGAAAATGCGCACACACATGCGAGAGATACGCGCTATACTATATAATCAGTCCTCTCAATAAAAGACGCCGTCTCCAGTGCAACAACTTACCGTATCTAAGCATGCGTTGAGTAAAACAATTGGTTATTACTGATGACTTGTATCTGGACGACTGACGACGTCTTTGTTTTATACAAACAAACGTATAGACCAGACCTCTAGTCGTGGCTTAGCAATGGTCGGCCCTTTGAACTACGAGAGTTAATTAGCAATTACCCTTATAATTATCCTATAATTTGCATAACATTTCCGATTTCTAGCGTGATCCCAACAAGGAGTCCCGGATTCTTATGTGGATTTGGAACTGTCTTGGCAAAGTTAGCAATACAGACTACGACCAATATCTTAAAGATGGCGTCGTTCTTTGCCAGTAAGTATTCGCATACATTTTAAGACCCCTCTCCCTTCTTTTTGGTATCGGTTCAGCAATGAACAATAATAAAATTACATGTTTTCTGTGCTTCTAGAATAGAGTCATACTAGCCTTTATCCTCTGTGTTTCAGCCTAATGAACTTCTTGGAAACGAACTCGGTACCAGGAACCATTGAGGCAGGCACAGATCATAAAACAAAACGGGTCAATATCGTTCACTTCCTTCGGGCAGCCCAGGTTTGTCATTGTAATATCCACTGATGTTTCCCTCAGGCGTTCGGATGCAATAAGCAGGTTTGCAAATAGCACGTAGCATAATTTACAGCGCATTATATTCAACAAAAAAAAACAAGGCACGCACTATAAGTAGGTCACCATAAAAACCGTACAAGTTGATTTAGATTTGACGACGAATGAAGGGAGAACTTTATTTAAGCTGACCGTCGTAATAAAATACAGGTGACACTGCCCTGTTTTTTACCCTCTTAAACCAACAATGGTTCAAGGACCATATCGTCCATACAGTAAGGGAAAAATTCAGTTCTCAGATCATTCTGCCCGTCATCGTTTCTAGCAAACGCACGTCAATCGCCGCTTTTTAAGCTTAAAGAATCAAAGCTCCTGTTAGCCGTGGGCCTTATGTATTATTGTACTATATTGTTATGACTTGAGTCATTAGTCGTGGTCATTGGGCGTTGTCTAAATTGTGCTTGCAGGCATACGGCGTTCCACGCGAGCTTTTGTTCGATCCCGAGGATCTCCTATACCTCCGTCATGTTCCTAGAGTGACACGCTGTCTATACGCTCTTGGACGATGTGTACGTACGCATTCGTTGTACTTTATGATCCATACATTGTGCTTTTCCGAATTTTCGGGACGTTTTATCATCCCTGTTTTATTTGTCATCGCGTTTGCTGCTGTGGATGGTGAATGCTGTGGGTGGTGAATGCTGTGGATGGTGCTGATGGTGGATGGTGAATGAATTTTTGCTAGAGTTTTTTTGGTCATACTTTCGATTCGATAAAGTGGCCCCTTTGTCAAAAAAGCTTCTATCGTAAAATATCGTTGTAGTTTGTAAATATCTCAGTTCTTAGTGTCTGGTCGGTCTTAATGTCTTGTAGACCCTACCCTTTAGAGCATGCCATTTGCAGTAATCATGTTGGAGTAGATAAATTAGATTTTAACATCATGAAAACAATAAGGTACATAAACTCAAGTACTTCTCCAGACAGGATCTGTCTTCTAAGACTACATAAACTCCGGCTGATTATTTAATTATAGTTGTTTGAAAAGCTTCCACCAACTGATAGTCCTATCTACTTGCCAGGGGAAAATTATTTTTCCAAGAGTAATATACCTCACGTACGGCCGAATAGTACCTAAAGAAATCCTATTTTATGTGGGCTTCGTGCCACCGTTAAATCGCAGATCCTCAGCTATGCGTCCGAACAACCCGAATTTCATTTTGGCAGTATTTCGGAATGTTAGGAATGAGCAGCTGCTCACTCTCACGTATTTTGTGATACCACATAGACAATGTAGCAATAACCGAACACTATTATATGTCACCTCAGTGACTTATAATAAACAAAGCTCGTTATCAGTGATTTAGTTTTTTCACGGGCAGGTAACGTGAGCAGGGGCTTTTGCGAATGTCTCCTAAAACAAAAATCTTCGAGTTAGAATATTGAGTTGATGCTGCCAACTGAGCTGACGGTCAAAATGGTACCATTTTGTGTAACTCTATTTCAGGCCGAAAGCAAACCTGACTATACAGGTCCGAGGCTAGGCGAAGAACCTGCGGATCCTCTCAATATGGCGACACAACGCAGAGCAGGAATGCCCGTCGGTCAGCCTTTTCTTGAGCTATTTTAATTACAATTATAGCAACATTTGACCTGCCGATGGCAACATTGTCTATTCCCAATAGACAATGTTGCCATCGACTTCGAATCGTAGATATGCTTCAGTCTACGTATAAACACTACGATTTTCTATAAAACGTTCTTCGGGCTATTATTATGTTAACAAGCATATACGTTTGATGTTCAGTCATTTCGAAGAAAAGCGTGCCGCCCAACGATGCAAGCCCGTTTCGGGAGAATGTGGTAAAGTAAAGATAGATATAGAAGAATGTTTCCAAGATGCGTTATTAAGATCATTCGTTTTTCCTAAAGCCCGCGTCAAAATGGCGGCACATGGTCAAAACTGTATGCAAATGTAGCATACCTATTGATCCGGACCTGTCTCTAATAGAAAGTTCAACTCATTTCACAGGTGATGACATCTATGTGGCTCACGTAGATATTAAGTCGAAGATTCAACGGCTGCGTCAGCAGGAAGCAGGACATTTACCCGCACCAAAGACATTATCCTTGTACCGATAGACATTTATACAATAAAAGCCACACGAAGCAACGAGCGGCAGATAGGTTTTGCAGCTACAGGATTTTATAGATAAAGAACACTGCAATAGTCCATTTATGTCCCGTTCCTCGTTTGCCGTTCCCGCTTCTATAACCTGAGTTCGGCTTGCGTACAATGGCATAGAGGTCGCTGGTTTCGTTTGATATTTGGCGAATCTTGTACTTCGTTTGCAATGATGGCCGGGTATCGAGTCTAGCTCTGGTCATTTCAACTGTGTACAACTCACCGTGTAAACCTTTTTGTTAGATCAACTTAGCTGTACATGGTTATTTTATCAAGCTCCGTGTTCCGCCAATGTTAGATAACCCTCAAATATACAGTGTCTTTTTTGTGTACGAGATGAAGGTTCAAGCAATGCGGCATCATAATAGATCGAATTCGTTTCATGTCCAAAAGCAGCATGTCATTGAAATAGCGATAATATTTGCGGTTCAATAAAGTTCTTGTAAATACCTAAAGTGTTTTCCTTGATGTTTCAATATTAATTGAAGTTGCTGTAGGCACCAATGTAGCCTATCATGGTCCTATTCAATTTTTTGCTCGATAAAGGTGTAGAGGAACGATGGCGGTTCCACGCTTAAGACTTACGTTGCGGAATACGATTTTCCCGTACACATATATGGCCCAGACTTATCAGACCACCTTCTCACTGTTGCAAACGATAATTTGCTTAATACACGCTAACTAATCGCATCCCGTAGTATTCTTAGATGCCCATAGCATATACGTGCTTACCCCTTGCTGGCCCGAGGCCATAGTAGCTAATCCGTAAAACCTGCAAGTCTAGCAAACGTTAAAGACAATATTGATAGGGATATTTCGTATGAAGCCATAGAACGCTACGAAAGATTCGTCCGTCGCTTACAGCCTCTCGAAAAGTCGCCAGTGATTAGCAGAACCGATCGGAACTTCTAGCAAAGAAACGAAAACGAGGCGAGAAGCCTGAAGTCTATTATATTATGCCTGTATCAAACTAAGGCACCATTAAAAGTGACAGAGCGAGACAGGTCAAGCGCATGCTGAAACTCCGTATCTTCAAGGTGTCAGAGGGTCATGTCTCTTTGAAAACTTGCTTATTGGATGTAACTTGTCAGCAGCCTGTGAGTGATACAGAAATTGAATGCGCGCCGCGGTTTCCTTACAGCGTATCGTATCGGCAGTTCGTGCCATTTTAGGAAAGCCATTTGCAACAATTAGGTTAATTCCGATAACGTGTATCGTATTCTAAGACAGCCGGATGAAATTTAAATTAACATTAATTAGCACATCCAGTGTTTCGAAGTTCCTACAGCAGTTACCAGCAAGCACCCATATACTCGATATAAACTGGATCAGGCCGAACATTTATATATCTATTGCCTCAATAAATGTGCAAAATGCATTGAACCCTAGGGTCTAACAAGAAATACTGTAAGCGACGAAAACTCACATTTCTGATACATAGCGTATTTATTTTTTTTCGTTTAGTAAAGGGCGCCTTTAAAGAATAAACTGCTTTTAATTTTAATTCAGTCTGTTAACGGAGGCGATTGTGGCATTTCTACAGTGAATTGTTGTTGGCCTTGTGCGGGTATCTGGTCTGTCGTCATCGTCGGTTGCTCCTCTGATAAGATCGTCTGATGCTGCGCGGTCATCTGCGCGCGGTCTAGGTCCAACGATCCGCTACGTGTCCCATATGCCCATCCTTTACCCGATAGACTATCAGGCGTTGCAGTACCAGCCTATAAAGATCGTACAGTTAAATTCAAATTTAGAACTAAATCTCTCGACAAGAGCTCCATCTCACATAAATAGAAAAAGTTTAAAGTTACAAGCGAGTTAGTACGCACAAAAATGCCGTAATATAAATGTGCACCTGTGATAGAATGGGTTAAAGTTGGATAGACGTAAATTATGGTTCTCTTTGGTTCAGACTAAACTCAGTCGAGATTTATATCGAGTTGAAACCTTTTCTGACTTGGAAGAACTCTTAGTTTAGCTGGGTATGCAACATAACTTAAGTGTCCAATAATAGGCTGGTAGCAGATTCATTTTGCAAGTTGTTAAATGCAGGCTATAACAGGATGGCCGATCCAATTTCGGATAAACATTACCGTCCATCTGCTTTTCTTAGTGCTAGAGAAAATCCAGTTCCTAATAGGCAAAAGCATTAAAAAGTTATTATGGTAATGAAGGGTGCGGCGTTTTTGAAATTTAGCCGAAAAACGACTATTAAGGTCGGATCTTTTCGCGTTGGACAAGTCGTCACTTATACGATAAATTTCCTAGGCTGTTTTAAATCGATGGTATATGGCACTGCAGAAAAGTTTACGGTGATATACTCCTCTAGGATGCCGACGGGGCAACGAAAAAATCCATGACAGTACGGGTTTGAGAGTTAATTAACGCCATCCAGAAGTGCATTTCTGAGGATCGCTTTGCTCGTTAGCGGATAAATATGATCTGATAAGAGCTACTTTATATTGTGAATTATTCATCAATACGTCACGGACACGTTATACGTCTGTAGTACTGGGGGTTTAAGGTACGCGCTAGCCCTCTCACGACACTATGTTTAGTGTGTCTTACTGAATTAGCCCAGGACAAACAGGTCCTGCGTGGTGTTACGTCGAAAAAGAAACAAAGTGAAGCGATGTACGGAGTGCGCAGTGCAGTTACACGAGCAACGGCAGTTAATAAGCAACCGATGTCTCTAATCAGTCTCCGAAATTATCGCTGACTTGCTCATGATCCGGGGTATGTGCCCGTTGTGCGTACAGACAAATTACCGTAAGGCATCCACTGGGAAAATCTCGTTTTACCATATTTTATTTAGAAAGATCAACGAATCAAATAGAGGTGTTTGTCTGCGAGTTTAGCAAGATGTTGTACAACCGTGTAAAGTCAAGTGTCTAAAGAAAGGCTTTACGTCTTCCATTAAGGTCGGTTCATGCTAGCTGATTAAGACAGGGTAGGCTATTTGAGGATATGGGTATTTTCTGGGGTAAGCAAACATGGCCGGCGTACAACCCAGATTGAAACTCGCTAGCTCACTATGTATGTTTTTGGCAAGGATTCAATTCGCTCACTAATCCTACTAAGAAGCCATTTACAAAGTTGCAAAAAGAGTATCTCGAACATGTATGTGAGTGCTTTAGATTCCGAACTAAAACGGTACTCGCGAAGTATGGTAATAAGCATGACTATCAGGAATAGTACCTCGAGCATACGTGTGTGATTCAATATCAGAGAACATCTCGTTCTACATGAACCACTCTGTAACCGTTAAGTGGTCCAATCGGTTGTGATTACCCTTTGCCCGAGTCCTGCTGTTAGTTGATAACAGATGATCTTTTGGCACGAGACTAGTAAATGAGGTAAGTCGCACGTGCTGAAACTCAATAGGAGACATTGTCAAACTCCTTACAGCATGAACGTCCACAAGACTGTTAATTGATCGAAAGCAGAGACCCGTATGCGAGGTATCTGTGTACAACTCACTGAGCGCTGAAAACGGACCTGATCGGAACCATTAGAGCTCTGAGACTTTCTTTTTTCATCATGTGCATTTGAAGCATATGAGTTTCGCGATGTTAGTATCAAGCAATAGACAAGTAACAAGAGTATTAGGAATATTCTAGGATGCCAATGAAAGAAGTCTGAAAAAAGTAGTCATACATTCAGCTAACCTTTTCATTTGCCTGTCGGTCACCTCGTATAAATCGCTCAATTTTATCCACACAAGCATCCTGGTAGTCATGAATCCAGCTAGGAAATCCAACCACAATGAAAGACAACTTTAGAACATCAAATGGTAAAAATTTGTATTTAATATCAAATTCATCAAATCAATTTATTTGACAAGCTCTCCCGGTTTCTTGCCGCTGTTTTTGGTAAAACTTTGCTGGTAAAACTTGAGTTATGCTGTAGATGTTAGTTAACATAAACTTTAATAGTTAACACCAGGTGCGTTCAGCTTGTCTACGAACGAAATCTCTCTGTGCACTTAACAGGTTGCCTATGGATAAGACTATCTCCTTAAACGAAGCTGCAAGCACCAGATTTTACAGTGTTGCTGTTGCATTAGAGCAGCTGCTTTACTGTTCTACCTAAAAATATCTAAAGTGAAAGAAAAAGACTGAAATTTCTCAGCCGCTAGGTGTCAGGTGTTTCGATATCTATTATTAGCAAAATCCAATTGAAACAGCACTTATCTTGACGGTACTATTGACGGCGTTTTGATAATGAAAACTGGCATCTGTTGCGCAGTTTCAAACAAGCACGTTCTAAACTTACGTGGGCTATAAATTCTCTATCCTTAGTATAGTTTATAATTATATATGCGTTAGTCCGTATTTAGCAGGCCTTAGATATTTACGTTTCGTAATCAGCAAATCGAACATAGTTTTATTACGCTTATAGTAAAAAAAAAGTTGATATTTATCGTCGGTGATTTAGTACATATTGTTGTCTTTATAAAAATCCCATAAGATTGCGAAAGTCAGTAATACTAGGTAAATTCCTAAAGAAAAAAAACACTTTTTACATTCGCATAGCTTCGACGCACATATTGCTGAATGTTGCCTCTTGACGAATAGGACCTTCACATCTATCCGAGTTAGGTCGCGGCAGGTCAATCATATATAAGCCTTATTTCAAAGCTATTTCTTTCAAATCTGGTTATTTTTTTGGTAGTCCACCAGAAAGGTTATAATTTAGATTAACCAACATGTACAAATGGAGGCCTCTTAGTCGAAATCAAATGGTTTGTCCGACTTTGGCCTGCACATCTCTTCCTTTTCGGTTAGACTCTTCTGTATATGTATTAACAATACTTCGCTGAGCAACTAACAGTGTATGTACTACAAATCGTTCATATTAACGGGTTGAGTTATACTCACTTGATTGCGTTATAGTAAAGAATAGGCCGAATGTCTTCTGGCAGATCATTAACGTCAGGCCAGCCAAAGTTATCAGTAATAGGAATGATGTTGCAATCTGCTTCGATGGCCTCCACGATCTCCTAAAGGAAATGGGCCAAACTTTTAGAAATGAGCAACATACCATAATGACCCTACTTAATAGATATTATGATGTATATACTCCAGTATTTTTACCCATCAGGGCAAGGAGCAGTGCGTCATTTTCAGAATTTGAAGTTGTCTAATTTGCCGCGCTGAACACAGCTCCGCCATGATTGAGAGTTCCATTTCACCCGAAATTGATGTTCTATATTGCCGATTTAGATGCAACTTTTGAAAATCTGAGAGAGGGTTTGGCGAGGCACATCGAAAGACCCTCAACAAAGTTTGAACTTAGTGGCTCAAAAAGGTATCGAAATCGCTTTTCGGTGCAGAAATTAAAGAGCATTTAAAAAAAAAAAAAAAAGTACATTAATTGTTGATTGGGTCGTCCAGATACGCTCTAACGGTTAGCTTTTGTAAGACTTTTTACGCCTTTTTGCAGTGTTCGAACAACTCGTCAATGCTGGACGCCTCCATCAATGACTGGGGCTTTCGACCTACTATCAGCCCAAAATTTTCTTCCGTTCGATTTTTCGTACGTTATGTTGACCAAATGCCGAACGTTAGGAATGATACTTCTGGCATATACGAAAGGAATAGTTGAAGTTTCTGTCCTTAGTTTTATGTATCGTCATACGTTTGTCGCCAAGCGGGGTCGACATTAGAGTACATAACAGTAAAAATAATAGATGTATTTTTTGTTAAGGCCGATTTTGGGTTTATAGTACGCGTTCGCCGGCTGATCATTCGCTAGTTTTTAACGGTCATTGCACATATGATGCAGGTGTTGTTTAGCCTTCAGTCTTAGAAATAGTAACACTTTTTTTCCATTTCTATCATGTTTATATGGGGATATGACAAGTCGAACAGATAAAGAATCTGCTAGTAACAATTTTTATTATTATATTCTTTTCCAAACATGGTGCTTATGAAGTCTATTATTATATCGGCACAGGGGCGTTGCCTGAAAAAAGTGAAAGAACAATGCGGCTGGGGTACAAGATGTATATATATAAATATATATATATATATAGGTAGGGTATAGTTGTTGCCTTCCTTTACATTTGATATATTTATAGACGTTGACAATTGATCTAGCTCGAATCACTATTACGAAATCGAAGTCCTGGCAAGATTGGTCTTGAGCTACATCAAATAAACACTGTTAGTGAGCCTAACACGCCACTGTCAATATCGGACGACGTTATAATAAGCAAAGGATGAGATCGCGCATAGATTTGGTTTAGTGCCAAATATGTCGCTATACAGAATAAGACGCTTACTCTATGAACCCAATCCTTTCTGTCGATGTCATTCTTACAACGTTCGAGCGCTCCGGTCGTAAGTACAAGTATGAAACTTCTCGCCTGTAAATGTGATTAATGGACGCCTCGTTGTAGGACACAATTCATCTGACAGGGAAAATATATTGCATTTGTTTTGTCTCAAAACTACACCCGAACCTCGCTCTTCGTTACATCGATCATTTTTGACACATTCACAGTTGACCCCATAATTGCATGATAACACCCCTAAGTCAGTCATTGGTGACCGATTAATTATGCTTTGCAGAGGGTTCAGTTACTGGCCGAGATATCCGGGATGGGAACAGCGCAATTGTTATGGGGCCTACGGCGTGCATAACCCTCACAGATAGGCTCGTACAAGAACACAGGCTCTTAAGTGACTAAATAATGTGCTCGATGTTGAGGCACGCCTTCATCGTTACATGCATTATCAGCACGCTGTTTGCTTCCACCATAGCACAATGCACCACAGACAAAATACTGGACGACACACTTTATTGGGAAAAACACGATGCCAATAAAACTCTATAAACGTTACCTGTCTTATACTGTTTAGCAAATTGTTGTCGAATTTTCCTGCTTCCAGTCGCTCAACGTCAATAAATACCGTAAAACCTTTTAGTTGTAGGTGCACCTTCAACAAGCTAAGAATAGATGTTATGTTATTTTAGCTCGCAAGAGGACCGCCAATAATGTCCACCTAAATCTCGCTGCTTGATGTATGCTTTGACAGCTGCTTACCTTTTCCAATAAGGAATAAGGGGCAGTTTTCGTATATTTCTATCACAAATAAAATGAAAAAGAGAAAAACGTCATGTTGAACGCTGTACGTGGATCGTTTGCAGAATGCAGAACGAACAGCAGACTGTATGATACACTAGCGTACTTTCTGGCTTTCTGGGCCTATCCTCTAAATCAGCCTATTGTATCTCATTTAATACTTTCTGGTCGTGTAGATGATTCTGTGTGATTTTTTGTTTTTTTGTTTTTTAGTGGTTTTAAGAAAGGCAGATAGAAATTACACGAGATTTCCCTGAAGAGAGTCCGTATTCAGTGTATAGTTAGTGCTGCTTTTATACCTGGCCAGCTGCGAACCGGTTGACCTGCGGTAACTTATGAACGCATCGATACATTTTTTAGAATCTTCGCTGGACTCCACCTCACTTGGGCAGGGGTACACCTCTGAAATCGCATGGCGCAATGAGTACCATTTTGTGTTTTAAGAAACTTTGATATTAGTTGATAGCCTGCTTAGATATGGTAAGAATGTAGGTGCGGCTGCGGGTACATATAGAATAACTCTGATACCATTCAATGATTGTGCCTTCAAATAACGACATTAGCAAGGCTTTATGTATCGGTACACAGACGTTTTCGAGTTCAAGAGCCTGCAGCGGCATGATCACTGGCTTTATCATGAAGTTATTTCTATTCGTACGTAGGCCCATTTCGAATAGGCACCAAAAACGTGGCCACCTACTGCGATACATCTACTAGCGTTTATTAATATACTGTGTTCTAAAGGTAGTTGTATTATTTACGGGAGAATAGAAAAATCATCGTGGCCTTTGACCGCAGCTTAGACCTTTATTGACTTTGTGTTTTAAGCAAAACTGACAACATACTTGCTAGATAGGACAGGATCTTCTTGCGGTGGACCGAGTTATCGATACCACATTCTTTCTGTAGTTGTTCTTCCGTGAGTCGAGAAAGTGCTGATTTATCCACTCCTGACCGCAAAAAGCCGTACGTGTACTGCGTAAACTCCGCGTCGATATTGGACAAAACCTGTGTCATAAATAGAAGTGAACACCAAATCAGGTAAGCCTTCGGTACCAAGGTGTTCGATTTGGTCGAATCAAGAACTTATACGATTTTTACACGATTTGATAGCATGCTATAAAACAGCAAAAGGAAGCACCGACACAAAATCATTAGGAACAGTGGAAGGTACGCATTTCGTGGGGCTCCCCTGCTGCAGTTGATAAATGCTGCTTAAAGTTCCACACTACTGTGATAAATACCTAGAAGTGAGGCCCCATGTCTGTAACAGAGATTTACTTTTAAGGAGTCAAACGAATCGAGGCAACAGTTTCCCAAAAAGAAAGCTAGCTAAGCTCATAAATAGCCAAAGAGCCGTTCACTGCAACGGCAGCACCATATGCCATATATTGATAGTGTTTGCTAATAAAATGCATTTAAGCGTTTCTTAGATTAGTGTTTCCAGTTAGTCTATCGCGTGCTGAGGAGCGATTTTGAGAGAACGAAGACAGTCCTCTAGCCCGGTCTAATCGAGCTAGCTGATTCATTCAATATTTTGCACATAGTATCTCTGCGAGGAAGAACAAGAAGCATATGAATAGCTTTCACAAAGGTTCTCACGCTCGCAGTGGGTACCCGGAGCGGTTTGAGGTATCTGGCCTCCTTCAAAAACTTTCATTGGCTAGTATACAGCCACAGCCGACGCGTTAGCTAAAGCCGCTCGTGGCAAAGCCAATGAATTATTTTAACTTTCGATAGGTCTATATTGTGGGCTGTGCTTGTCTTCACACTTGAGTCAGGTCAACGGTCACTCATTGGCGAAGGCGTTACTTTGGCTGGATGTGCTACTCCTGTGAGCCACCACACGCTGATGATGCCTTGGCCATCGTGGTAGTGACGTAACTTGTCTTACTAGTCGTGGACTAACGTCTTCCAGGTCAGTCTTGTTGTCTGCACAAATTGCGAACGATGTCAATCGTCCGTATACTTTATTGTATATTAGCTTCTAGTTAACGAAAGACTAGAAACAATTTTAATGGATACGAAAAAAAAAAAAAACGGGTCGTTTATTTGAAATAGAGATTAGCTAGGTTATCAGACAGGTCTCTATCTCTGGTAAATGATACCAGCTTTCCTTCGAATTGAGCCATTTTCACTACGGTTGGTCTATAAAGGGGGCTATCGCGATCATTGTTAATACCGATAGCAGCGCACCTCATCGAAGGTCGTCACTCGTTTTCCAAGTTATGGCCTAAAAACAGAATTTTCAAGCTGCTAATTGTTATCTTTTTCAGGAAAAATAAATTTATCCTCCGAACGGCCTTACATATGACATCATATACTGACCATATGTCTACCTATTAACTACGATTCCCGAATGCTAATTTCCCGGTGCTCTTATACGAACTTATTCCATACTGTCTATTTGTTGTTTATAGCACGTATAAAACGATTCGGGTTAAGGTAAAATTGTTCTTGTCTAAAGCCTTGTCAGTAGATAGTGGGGTTACTATGTTGTATTTAAAGCGGTGTAAAAAAGGGTACGACGTATTTGATATCGCAGCTCCTGCCGTTGCCGATAGCAGATATTAAGGGCAAAATCGGCCTTTCAACGTACATCGACACATAACTCAGTGTTACTGCTGCGCTAATGATATCGAGTTCAGTGTTTTCGCGCCAAACGAAAACGTAACAAACGAGTCGGTGGCACAATCCGCTTGCTGTCGTAAAAGATATGAGCCTCAAAATTGATTAGTCACCCCGCTGTAAAATCCCGCTCTGCTGTCTCTGTTCATTCCCGGGAAGAACCGCGCTACCATAGGGGGTGAGCCTAATGTGGGAGCGCTCAACCATCGATTTTCATGGACAGACCTCTATCCTACCTGTGCGACGTTTGATGAATCTACCGAAGAATAATCAGCCATTTGTTTTAGCTTGCGCAATTCTCTCAAGAACCTGTTAAAATTCGATTCATGCCAATAAAAACAATTCATGATATTAGTTAGTGTTATTTCACATCATGAATATAATCATCTCACTTCATAGATACGTATAGAAGGGTCTTTTAATATTTAAAGTATCCTTTTCCAGCTAGAATTCGTAAATTTTCTATTTTCTCTCTATTTTCACAGTCCATATAATTATTTTATGAGCACGTGATTAGTGCACGATAGTCTTCTAGTTTAGGTGGCGGGTGTTAAGACAGGGTAAAGATCTTCAATTTCCAATAACGTAATCAACGGGGGGTGAGGAATCCTAAAGAAGACTGCGCTTTTTATCTGTTTCCAGGCGACAAATGTATGAATGATATTTTCAAAGAAGGGAATTTGATGACAAAAAGGGCAGATTAATTACATGCCTTTTCCGTAAGAGTTGTTTATTGATGCCAATATCGTTCTCAAGCATGGTCTCATCAATTTGCAACAGTAGATCTCCGTCCACCTAAAGCCAATCCATAATTTGTATTACAGAACGTTCTCCCGGCTACGTTCATGAATATTGCACAAAAATAATGTGTGTGTATATATACACATTATTTTTTATTATATATAACGAGTAGATATTTGGATGAAAGGTTTCGTATGTGCCGACAAACATGCTTCTTCGACGCAGCTCTCATTTGTTTCGTTCATGGCTAAATCTAACCCCCTATTTGCAAAAGAACTTTTCAGAAGTAGCTGCAAATGAACTTCTATTAACAAACTTAGACGAACAAAGGGCTACAAAGGGATATCTTTCTAAACCCGGTGCGTTTATCATGAATGTTTTAGATCTCCACTGAGTATTGTTAGCGTCTCAATTCCATACCCCACTGTGTGATAATTAGTTTGATTTGTCGAACCCGAGGTAAATGTAGTCAAGGGTAATGCAACGTTGCTTACATTTTGCCCAGAAAGCTTTTCTCTATTTATTTACCAATCCATGCCAGAAAGCTGTCAAATTCAAAGCTAAATAGATCTTTGATATAGCTTCCCCCATGTTTAATACAGGAACAATACAATGACAACCTTTGCATCAAGAAATGCCTGTGCTCGATCCCCAAAGCCGATCTGCTTGACCCATTGTTGGACGTCGAGCTCCCTCCAAAGTGGCACCTGCTGGCTCAGCGCCTGAGGTAGTTTTTCGCCGATAATTCGTAGAGCCTGTAACGTCAGTGCGACAGTAACTATAAATGTTAAGTAGGAACGTTTAAAAGCTCTTTGTACTAAAAAGACCCACTGCAAGAGAGAACACTCAAAGCTGGTACGCGGAACTTCATTAAGAAAAATGTCCTGCAGCAAACTAAGATTAACTTTTCTACTAACTGCCTAATGGCACAATCATTACAATATTTCAAATAACAAAAAACTTTACTTTACGAAAGGCAAATTATGGCGACCTCTTACAAGTTAGCAGAAAAAACGTTTGTGTGTTCTATTTGATTCTTCTGTCTAGCTTATCATGTTTTGGTGCAATGTGATTTCGATACGCTACCCGCGCTGCGAACTTCGATGCGAGGTCATTTGGTGAGCTGGCGACCCGCTTGAGAGCGTCGACGGCGCCAATCTCGCTAAAAATTCCCGTGTTACCCTGTTGTCGTTTGATCGAGGCCTCCATAGCGAAATGAAAGGCAGCTAGAGAGCAGGCCTGCTTCAGGCGCGAACTTAGCACTGGCACGAACCGCTGTAACCTTTATGCGAAATGAAACTTACTATGTAATCTAAGTTGTCAGATATTACGTTGCATCCATTAGATCCGGTTGTTTCTATTCTGTCAGTTTAGTTCACTTCAGGACTTTGTATAAAAGTCGCAGCGTGACAAAGGTATTGATCGCATTTTTTCTAACTGGCGCCTATATTTCTGGGTGTAGTAAAGTTCGAATTAAACTAACCAGTCCTTGGATTGGCCGTATACATGAGCTAAATTGCTTCGAGCAAACGCCTCGGGATCTCGCGTATTACAAAACATTTCAACCAGGTCCAGGGTATCGGACTGCCTCACCACAGCCTGCCGATAACAGGAATCATTTGAGTACATATAAATTGTACATTGTTCTGTTCACTTGGCTTCTTCTGTGAACTATAACTAATCCATATTTGAAGATGAAAGACATCAAGCAAACTGATGAGTATTCGGTTCTACAATTAGTAAAACGAATTTATGTTGATGAACCTAACGCTGGCAAATCCTCCTCGAAATAGGTCGGCCATTAGAATGTTTTAAATTTCTATAACAAGATCAGACCGCTTAATACACTCATGTGAAATATTGAAAACTGTCTGTGGGTCGCGTTTGGGCCGGTCAGGTCCATTATTAAAAACGCAAAAGTTGCCTGTTTGTACTTTGACTACGAAAGAAACAGTTCGGAACGGAAAAGCCTACGACGTTAAAGGCGCGTCCAGGTTCGCACCCCCCCCCCCCCTACACTTACCTCAATTTCGTGATTGGCTGCTAGAACCGATACGGCGAGGCATGCCCAATACGTTACGTAGTAATCTTTGTGAAACGCTAAAGGAAACAACCATATTGGCACGGAACTGAAAAGAATCGGTCAAGCGTTAAATGTATTTTGGTTCGAGGTAACACATGAGAACGAGCGAAAGGTACTGGCCTTGACTAGTCGAGTGTTGGGAAAGTGCCCGATTGTTTTTACCGTTGCCGGCGTTATTATTGGCTCTGCAAAAATGTGAACATCGTAGTCATACAGGAGGCTTCGCCTAACTATTAAGGACACTTAGTACCGAATATTTCGTATAAAATTAGTTTCCTACATGTTGTTGCTTCTCATATGCAGCAATAGCTTCCAGCGACTTACAAATACAGGCATATTAAGTACGTGTTAGTAAGCGTTAAGTAAGTGTTTAAAGTAAACGTCGTTAGCTCCTAAAAGCGAAAAGTAATTGAGTACTAATTATCACAACGTTGAAGCTAACCAATCGATCTATGCTGAACGCCGTATTTGCTAACTTGAAACCTTGCGCACCCAGATTTCGCTACAGGTAACCGCAGCAGGTGATACTGAACCTAACCTGCAAATGTCATATCTATTATCTTTTCTGCTTTAAAACAAGCTTCTTTTCAAGAACACGACTTCAGACCTGCAAAAGAATCCCCAAAAGTCAATGTGACTGGATATTTCCATATCGAAGAACTAAAATCCGGTCGCGCAATTCTCAAGGTATAGAAGATTACAAACGTCCATTTATTCCCCACAACCAATAAGTGATTCTGGCGGAACCCGTTAAGTACGTATCTCTCGGATCTGCAGCCGCGTGACAAACAACGTCTGACAACGACGAAAATAGAGGCCCATACTTTCAGTTGCCGTAAATTTCATGATCTATCCTAACGAGCCCATTTACAGTATTCTCGACGTGGTAGACATTTCACAGAGCTCGTACGTAATGGAACAATTTCTAAATACAGAACAAATGAAAGTATGTGGGTACACATAAAGACTTCTCTACGGAACCCCGTTAATTATTATGAAGATTTGAAGAATATCTTCTACTACAGCAGCCTAGGCTCTTCGCTGGAAACAACCGCTTCCATAAACACAGAGCGCTCTTCCTCGCCAGCATCAAGCGCGTATCACGATGAGCGCCCATATTTCAATATCACTATACTGTACAACGAAGCTAAAAGATCGTCTACTTCTAAGATCCGATTGGGTACATAGTTGCATCAAGAAAAAGGTTATTGTATAATCATTGTTAAGCATTGTCGGCACTGCGTTTCAGAGAAGATCTACACAAAAATTTTGCGAGTCTAACCGGGTCGACGTTAAACGTCTCGCGCACAGCCGTCTTAGGAAACGAAACTAAATTTAAGACTTATCTCGTATATTCGTAAGTATACAATTAGGTTAAGAACTGTATATGCTCATGAGGAATCGCTGGAGCTGCTAGTATACAGAATACAATATCTGATTTTAGCTTGGAGCTCTATGAGTATATGCAGAGAGCATGGACAGATATCGATGCTTGTTAGTAGCTGGATCGTCCTTACAAAGTGACCTTCCTGATTTTTTTTGTTACGCGTCGTCTATCACTCACCGACGTTGATCAACCATAATTTTCTGGCACTCTGCGCCTCCATAGATGGCAAGGTTAGCAAAAGCGGTTGCACAGTTACGCAACGTCCGCACATCTGTCGTCTTACAATTTTGTATTATTAGCTCAAGTGCCTGTGGGTTAATTGAATACCATTAAAGCAAATTTTTCACAACGGACGAAACAACAATAGTACTACTATAAAGTGTCTAGTTAGCTTTTCTTTCTAAGCTGTTCCTAAGTTATCAGGATACAATATATCGCATGATCGCTTCTCAACTACATGATGTGTTAACAAACGTATAGGAAAAGATCGAAGATGCATCGATTGAGTAGTCTTCGTTCAAATTTTTCGCTACATGAGATCCGATAATCGATCGGACCTTGATTGCCTCACTGTCTCAGGATCATTATTGCGTAGGCCAATGTGACAACGATCATTCTCGGATGCAAAATCAAAGTCGATGAAGCCACACATCTCAGCCATTGATCCTCAAATTAGGTTAACTGAACTATTTTTCTACGTTGTAGACTGCCATCTCCTATAGTTTCTACTAAATGTAGGCGCGTATTTGCCAGCTGGAATCAGTAAACAAAATGGCCAGACCTTATTTTCAAGAAGATACGAGCAGGTTGACTCTGAGTGCTTGAAGAGGTGACACAGAATGCCCGTGCCGACTCTGGTTTTTTTATCTGCCGATGCTGATGAAGCGTATTGGATAGCCACTCTTACAACCTGCCAAAACATGAAGTTGATGACTAATTCAAATAGAGCAGATCTTCATTGCGCCAAGTTGCTTAAATGTTAGGTAAACATCTAACTTGATCAGCGGCCGATTTGACTGCTTCGGCCGTTGATTTCTACTCAGTTACTGACAGGTGAACGCTTGTAGTCGCTATGGTGATTCGTAGCCAAAAAGAGGTTTTGTTTATCAAAATTCGTACGAGGAGAGCCTATGCCGGCGCCGTGTTTCTGCATAAAATGATTGTTCAGACCTCTTGTACATTTCTGGCTATATACTTTTGTATGTGCCAAAGCTATCACTGATGTAGCTATCAGTACCTCGTCGGCATCTAATAAACCAGTTCAATAAACGTTTTTTTAATGATAACTATCTGTTCAAATCTATATTGTTTCTGATGCTGACTCCGATCATATCTGATGCTTCATCAGTTAGTTGGCCATCAGGGTTTTGACTGCCTACCTTGTCAATGCCATTAGCAACGATATAGGCTCGATTTTCCGTCGAAAGTGATTGTTCAATAAGGCTGGCCGCCTCAAAGGTTAATTTGTCTTGTAAATGTCGGTCGTGGCTATTTTTATTAATATGCTCATCGCAGAGCTTGACGAGATGAGCTAGTCCAGAGGTTTCTCGCAATACGTTGCACACCTCAAAACCTAATTCATGGCAGTATGTAGGCACCGACCACGCACTTTTTACTATGACCACCATTGCCTGCAAATGTGAAAATATGGCAAAATCAAAAACAACTACACTGAATCATATAATCCATGATGATCCAATATGTTAACACATATTGTTCGAATCGATTCAATATATGCACAGTCGAAATCGATGGAAGGTTTAGATTTCCTCACGCCAGCGGCCTGTTTCGGATGGCATTTTGTGATTACCTCGCTTGTTTTCGTTTGCTTTTGCTTAAACTTAACCTGCGGTCCACACAGGATTAAGCATCACTTACAACTTGTGAATGTTATGTACTCGGCCATCTGGTAGGAAGATAAAGTTTTGGTTGTGCCTGTGTGCAATCGTGTGATAAAATCGTGTGAATTTAGGTATCTAACAAGTGTGACAAATCTGTCTGATAGCTTTTGTTACTGACTTGTAGTATTTCAATTGACTCTTCAACATTGCAAGAGTCTTTCAGCCGCTCAATGAAGACTCGGATATGTTCGTGGAGGCTCGCAATGACAATCGCCAGGCTAGCGTCAGCAGGCTGGCTTTCCAGTTGTCTAAATTCATCCTGAACCTGCAATGAGAGCAAATTGCAAGATAACGTGAAGTTCTCTTCGATACAGAATCGTCAGTACTCAATGCCTCACGTAGCGTGCAAGATTGTTTGTACCTCGGCCCTAATTCTACACATTTTCATCGGACTGAAAGCCAATGATCTGAAGCTCGCGTGAAGTGGCTACTGACACAAGATGCGCACTTTTTTTTTAGATCAAATTCGTGTTGCGTTTGCGGATTTCTGCCATATAAAATACTTTTCTCTAAGCACATATCGTCCACCACGTCGCAAACCATTTCTAAAATGAGGCGATGGCTGATCTGATGTTCGTTATTTGTCAACATTATTGACAGCTCACTTTCATGTTTATAGTCGTCGGCAAACAGCGTAAACAAGATACTTGCCATGTTATTATATATTGCCCCCGATTTCCGCGGCCGGGGCTGTAGCCTTGTTTGTTCATCGAAAGAATTGTTTATTCTTTTCGTAACTTAGCCATAAATGCTATAACGAAAGGTAATATAAATGCACTGAATTTAGGATGAAGAGCTCGTCCCTACAGATATGCGTTGCTACTGCGGACTGCACTACTTATTACGGGGCTTTCGTATATATGATATGGTTAACTAAGTAGACGTTCAAACAAACACTGCAAGCGTGTACCGTCACCTTACTCTTCTCTTATGATATGATTATATCGTGTAGTTATAGTGGGAAGTATACATTCGTCGATGTTTATAGAAAAACAATAGGGTCATGACTTTATCAGAGGTCAACTACACGCTACGCGTGAGTTCGGCAAATCTCACTTTTTTTAATAGTGTTTGTGCCTTTCTTCGACTGGCCAGAGAGATTCTTGACCACCTAGTCTATATTCGATCGCCGACCAATACGTCTTAAGCTATTCCATGCTACCGCAAGCAAGGGTGAATCATGAACTACTGTCGGGCGTTCCAATAAGAGCGGAAAATATAAATCCCAGATGAGATAGAGTTTTTATTTGACCATAAAGTGGACATGTGGGAATTATGTAACAGCACATCTGGCGAATAGCCTCTTCGGCCTAGCTAACAAATCTGTATTCTTTTGACGTTGAAAAATCTTATTTTATTTACGGTTCGGTATAACTATAACTGGGACTAATCGCTTGCTGTCGTTCGGTTGCCTAGATTGCAGGCGACCCTGGACTTGCAGACATAAATTTTTCACTTCAAAAAACCCAGGGAAAATTTAAAGAGGCATTAGGTTGCACGGTTCAGGCGGCTGAATCCGCTTGCCACAGCGGGAGAGTATGCGCCTCCTTCCGCCCATGAAAATTATTGTTCCTAATGGCTTGCTCACAAAGCCATCAACATAAAAATAACCCTCATTACTGAGAACGATTTTGCTGAAGAACTTACTGTTTATCTGTTGTCGTTGTTGTCGTTCACATGCCCAGATGACGAACTCTCTTTACCAGATTTGTTGCTCCATATGTAATTCTCACGTGTCTACTTTGTGATGAAATCAAAATTTAGTAGCCAAAATGAGCTATTTTATTTGAAATTTAAATTTTGCGCCCCTATTGATACGCCTGCACAGGCGAGGTGGACGAGTTACATTAACGTACTACCGTCACGAAATATGGCACGGTGCTGACTCAGACAGAAAGAGCGCGTAAATGAACGTACTGCGTGATTTCATGCACATTCAGTACATTAAAGGTATAGTCGTAACAAAGCATCAGTTAATCATCTCCTGATTGACCTTTATCGAAGTATATGTTGAATTTGACCAATCTATAGTGAAGATCTTGATATACTATAAGATATTAGTTCTATTTAGGCTTTTTTTTTGGACGTCGGCGTTAAAAATCAGGCAAAAAAAAGGCGACACACAGATCGCTCTCTGAATTCTCAAGTGGTTGTATTACGACTTCCAACGGTATAGTTCGTCACATGGTCTGAAGTATCAAACAAATGGAGAAAACGAATCATTCGAAACCAAAAAAATTGGCTAGGCTTATTTGTACGCTAGTTATTGAATAATGCTTCCTTCGAGAGGCATTAAATAGCACTAATCCAAACACAACCGCTATTGGTTGATCACCTGTCGCGTGATGCCGGCGTATTTATTAGTCGATAACAAAGATGGTGGCCCATCATCATGGATGCTATAATTGCAATTAAATTTCGACTGAAGCGTGAGGCATTGTCCTCCGTCCGGCGAAGTGACGAGAGGGGAAAGCGTCCCCCCTTCGACAGGCTGACGATGTGACACCGAGACTTTTGACAGGACACCAGTGGCAGCGTTCGCCACCGTCCGACTGGCCGCTATTTGGCCATCGTTATACTGTTCCTGCAAATGGCCTATGAAAGTCAATAGTAACAGCGGAGAAGACAATGAAAAGCATTAGCCTTCTAATATGAATTTTATTAGTTATTATCTATAAGCTGAATGTTGACGTCAGGGTGTGCAGTCCTCAGCAATTAGGTCTTCAGCAAATATACATATATTCTCTTGTTGAAACGAATAGTAATCAAAGTTAGAGTTTTCCGGTGTTAATCATACATATGACTAATCTACGGGTAGATTTACTCTATAGTATTAAAAGTTTACAGCAGATACGTAGCTGAACGCATCTTAATTCGGTAGATTTTACTGTGAGATAAATTATTGAAGTGAACCTTTGTTAAAATGCCGCGTCTCGCGTTGCTTAGCCATTGCAATCTCGTCAATGGTCCCTTCTGCTGTCACCAAACGAGTAGACAAAGCCTTCGCATCCATATTTGATTCCTTCGATTGTTCGCCACATGTGAGGACCTAGAGCACATGAGATCGAGCCAGAGGACTTCGCTTGAGCTGTAAGCTTGGCGAAGGCATGTTCCAGCGCGCTGAAGCCACTAGGGCGTTATAAGATGACGTTCTTTACTCATACAAATTATGCAGCATTTATGCATAGTTAGGGCTTTATTTACAGCGATCAGTAACAGTTCGGAATTTTCCGAGCAGCAGCTCGATACAAAGTTTGAAACACTTGATCAGAAGACGTACTCAGTATTTTGTTGCCAAAACAGACATGTATAATGAACCGTCTTTTTCAATAGAAATCAAATTGCTATATACGAGCTTAAGTCACCTGCATAATCTCGTCAAAGAACTAACAATACTTTGTAGACCTTGGACCCCTTCAATGTGGGAACCTGGCACTTGAGCAAAATTGTTTAACTCTCGTTGATGCATACGCGTACAGACGTTCGCAATCGCCCGTACGCAGCCCGAAATTGCAGGCACCTACCTTACGATCCTGTCGTTTCCCTGCAACGCGTTCAGCCGAATAGCCGTCGCCCTCTAACTTGTCTCTCACCTAGAATTTAAAAGAGAGTTTAGTTTTCTTTTGAAGCAGCGGTAAGTTCAGACCTGAGCTTGCCACCTCGCAAAAGTCAAACGTACCTGGAAAATAGATCAGTTCCACTTGAACGCTGTGTATAGAAAACCATCATTATTTCAAACGGAACACTTTTTACATGAATATTCCTGCGCAGTCACATTTCACTCATATGCATGGCTGTCCTCCTTGTTTTGCTTAGCATTAACATAGTGTGTCGGTATTCAACATCTGTTACTTACAAAAGAGGTACAATACACATATTTATCATCAGTCCACTTATGTCAAAGCGAACTTCGGCCTTCAGTTTTCGCTGCAAGTCCTTCAGGCGCACTGAAGGCAGCTACGCTGCCCTAATCAAATTATCATTGGAAAATTCGCAACGTTCGAAACTATGCATGCTCGCCGTACAGTCTTCTGGTACAACAGCAGATACCATAGCGACTACTGCAATTAAACACGATCAACTTTTTTTATGCAATAGCCATCGTATGCGAACCTTGTGCGATACGTTTCTCGCGACAACGTGAGAATACACGACGGTGGAGATTTGAATGACGCCACTGGAGAGGAGGACGAAAGCCTCGCCAACAACCGAAGGGGTAACAAATTGGAACTGCAGCGACACCTTTGACAACTCCCCGGATCAACTATTGTGTGTTAAAATAACGCTTTCTATTGAAACAATTAGGCCTGTTAAATAGTGTGAACTTGCTTCTCCATTGTTCCTATGGCAAATACTAATACCGCTAACTTGGAGATTAGAGTAAATATGAGCGAGTGGAGCTATCATACGAAAACAAACAATATTTCAATTATTCTCTCCAAGTACGCTAACAAGTGAGGCTCGATCCGCTGACAACTTTTCGGTCATCTCATTAATGTGTTCAAGTACTGTGCATGTCATAGTAGCACCAAGCAACTAGATGATGGGATTGCTCATTGCTAGAATTCACTCCCAATGTGAGCGATTTTGGCAATCCAAAATTTCATTAATGGTTGTTAAAGACTCACCTGTGTAGCTGTATACAATCTCGTACTGTATTCTATCGACCACCCTCGAAAACAACCCATAGTTCCAAGAATTTTGGGGCGTAAATAATGCTACTTATATATCATTGACTGGTTACTCGGTGTCTAACGCGGACTCGATTGTTGACTGCTTAAACGGCACTGTTTTTTTCTTTTAGTGAAAAACCAATTCACCGAAATGGTCTAATATGGCTTTTCTGGCAAACCTTCGACACTTCAAACGTGCGCTCGACGTCAAACGTTTGAAACATCGCTTTGATGTTAGTACAGGGAACAGGACACACAACCCGGCTGCTGTGCCTTACTCACTCACACCGGTTGCCTAATGCACAAATGGATAAAGTATGATTCCTTATGAGCCAAACAACGTCAGATCTCCACTCCCTGATCAGCCTTCTATATATATATAATTCTTTTTTACGGGTCTACGTAGTAGTGAATCAAGTTATCAGCACGATTACAGCTAAAGTTTTCATTGCATCGAATTTTAATATTGGTCTTTTGACCACTGGGGTGAACTTTAAAAACCGATGCAGCTTCTTGGCTTTTATGACTCGGAAAAAAGTTTATCTAGGTTCCGAATCTTCCTTCAGCCTTCGTCGACGGCTGATATTCAGGTCTATATTATATACGTTCGAAGTGTCCGTCCTCGCTCGAAGAGCAACAATGCGTAGCTCTGTCGTAATGTTCAGCAAAGCTCCCAATGCAACTAGGCTGCGATGCATAACAGATGGCCTGTAATATTCATTTGGCAACAATAGCTCAAATAAAATCAATGATAGGCTCTATTATTTGGCCTGGTCCCGATTTTATTGCAATAATGTGTAAGCTGAAATAGAAAACTACACAGTTCTTAAACGATTTTTTTCGGCACTCTTTATATACCTATTATGTGTCGCTCTCGTTCGTTCGTTCGTGCTGCTGTAAAAGGAACACGCGATCTTATTATATGTTATATATAGCTTAAGTTAAAAGCGCGTAGTTGCTTCCTAACCTGCTGGGTATGCCTCGCCTCGTGGTAGTGAAGGTCTCCAGCCTGTAGCTTTTTCACCTGTTGATTTGTTGTTTCATGAGTCTCCTGGATTACCCCATCCTTCATAATTTTACGAATATTTGACGTTGATATCTGTATAAGATACGGCAATAAATCTGCATGACATATTTGCCACTACATACTACTACTATACTGAGGCAGTATTAAAGTTTTACCATTTCGAACGAGCGCCACCTTGATTGTATTTTCTATGTCCGAGATGTTTAAGGACCGCGATTGACAGGTATACCTATACGACATGACAATTGCGTCATATTCAGAACTATTTAATATTTAACAAGTGTTACATAATCATTTTGTAGCCATTGTTAATGGCAATTTGCTATATTCAGTGTCTCTTCTCGACACCATAGATGAAAGGCGTTTCATAAAGAAATGCGCAAAAATATCTCCTGCTTTTAAACATGTAGATGGAAAATGAGTCTAATAAGTACATATAATGGAGATTATATCAGATAGCTTTGAGGAAGATGACAAACTTTCCTTTCAAGAGTCAACAAGCTTTCTATACTGAAAAGGCTCAAAGTTGAAGTAAGTAGAGCAAGCGTTACTTATACATCAATTTCTCATGCATTACTCCAATTAAGAGGTCGTGTCAATCAATTATCATCTAATAAATGTATTCGACACACGCTTTCTCTGTTCAATAATACAACTAGCAAAGTAATAAAGCTTATTTATATACTTGGAGCTGTACGAAGAATTTCTCTTGGCAGCGTCTCTATCATCAGGTAACTTAGATAGCCGGGGCATGAGTATCGTCGCAAACCATTAACCAATTTGCGAAGTTACTGTAGGATTAGGAACTCGATTCTTCACCTGGAGTTCTCCAAGACTTTTTGTTTATAAATATACAAGAAAATGCTAATTCTTGCTCTATAATATATTAACCCTGGCCAAATTTTCGATTCTTAGTGCACGAAATGATTTTCATAATCCCATACTTTATAAAGTATACTAAGAGTACCATATATAATGTGATTCTGACAGGTTTTCAAGGTTAATTGTTTACCACGTTACTACTCGCTAGCCTAACTGGCACGAGCATTTTTCCAACCGCCTGCGCATCAGACCCAGTTTGCTCACCTTTCTGTGTTCGTGTTTGTACTCTTCAGTCGCTTTTTCGCCGGACTTAACAATGCCCATAGGAGTGGAAAAAGAGAACGCACCGTCTTCATCAGAAGCTTGGTGCTCATGTCCACTGAGACTTTCGATGGAAAATCCACGTCGTGCTGATAGCGGGATCATTTTTAGCGCACTGTTGGGTCTGTCGGGACCGCCTGTGGCTGATGACACTGATATGGATCTGATGAATAAACATATAACGGCAGTGAGATTTGTCCATTATTATAATTGTAGATATATTGTTTTGTTTTGATGGCAAGTGGCTATTTAGAACATCTGTGAGCTAAATCCTTCAGATTGCTTGGAATTGTTCTAAGTCCTAAGGTAGAGGTTTGCCTCAAAGCTTAAACTTAACATCCTGTGAGTTCTGCAGTGAAGAGTGACTTTGGTTGGAATATCCTAAGTTACCAGCCATGATATCTGCCTGAATTCCATTCGAGGTTGTTTTTTGCAGAGAGCAAAGCAATGTGCACCTCACACTTTTTAAATCGGCAGCTAGAATATATACATTTACATACACCTGTGTAAGAAGTCGTTCAAATCAATGTAAGCTTAATAGAAATTACAGGAATTACTATCATTTAACTATGAAATGGTTGTTATTACTTAGGCTGACCTAAATTCCCCTTCCGGTTCAAAACGCGAAAGGTCTAAAATTTATTATACACGTCAACTTCTTAAGTACGTATTGTAGTTGTCTAGAAAATGTAGCGTTACGGTTTTTTTTTTTCTCACAACTTTGCTCTAGTGCGTGTTCCGGTTAATCATGATCTGTTTGATCTCGGAAATAGCCTTCCCTGGTATACACTGCTATCCACTTAAAAAGTAAATCGTTTTACGGGGGCGTTTGTTTCAAAAAACAAAAGCTTCTTGAAAAGTACAAAGGGAGGGGTACAGAAAATTTTACTTAAAGCTATTGAATTTTCAGTTTCGACCATGTTCACAGACACAGAATACGCGTAATATCACAATTAATGCACTTTGGCAGGTTTTAATGCCGGTTGAAGGTAAACTATTTTGAGATACAACAACTCAAGCTTTCGGGGCCATCTTTTAACATTGGCCATACTTTGAACAACTTGTCAATAACTATTGTCGGCCAAACGGAGTTTTAAACTGTTTACGACAAGATGTCTTCTTCTACATATATATCTATGGAAATATCTGCATAGTGGAAACCTATATACTGATTATAGTTTAACGTGCTAATTTCTTGTTTACATCATACCTGCGATTTTTCTATTACGAAGCTAAACAACTGGGCTGTCCGCCAGCTAGATAATTTTTCGAATCAACCTTCTAAGAGGGTATCATACTTGCACACTTACCTTACGTAATTGCTTCCGTTATTGCCTGCATTAGCTAAAGATGATGAGGAAGTTACTTGAGCGAAAGGCACCTAAAAAAGGAGAACATTTATAAAATGACTGTTTGCGGGTTTCTCGATGACCATGTTAAAAGCAAAAAAGGTTACAAACTGATCCAGGTCATCGCTCAGATGCTACTATAGAACTTTATTATGGTAATATACGTAGAACTGCACAGTTAAAATGAAAGAAGGGGAAATCACAAGGAGTGTTTTAGGACAACGCACTGAATACGACGTCACCACTGATTCGCACAGTTTTTGGTAGAGGAAATAATCAATCATCGTTTATTTTACCTCATTGGACGATCACTATTCAGATTATCATCACTAAGATGAAAATTTAAGTCGCTTTCTAGCCAGTAGTTGCATTTCGAAGTCTTCACCTTGAAAGGAAAAAGTGAGAACCATCCGGTGTATAATCATAGTTGAACATATATATTTAAGAAAGAGGAGGCTAAGTTATACGTTTTTGGTACGTTTCGAAGTTAATGTGGACCACGAGGCTCCAACCAATTCCTTTTCAGTTATTTTGATATTTCTACTGGAAGAGATTGATCAATGTTACAATGGAATATTCTTGACCTCCGAAATAGATATATATAGGAAACGAGGCTTGTCCATATGTTTACATTACAGGTCACGTGCGGCTGCTTCCTACTGAGAGAAATAGTTCGTTCTTCAAAAATAAACCTCGCCAAAACTGGCTACAACTTAATAAACGCTAGTTAAGTTTTCGAATTCACAAATGCTAGGTCTGCGACACCAAATCAATAGCAACAGTGTTTTAATACTCCCAGGCAGTTTATTACATCGAACCGATCTTGTTCGTCTGGGGCCATGTGGGTTTTGCTTAAGTGCAATGTTCGATTTGCCTGATAAGTGGGTGTCAATTTGCGGGTTGAGAAAAATCGAACACATGGATTTACGATCTCCTAACTCAAAATTTAAGAGAGAGCATGTCCTATCGTTAGATACCGGGAATCGATAAGAAGGATTTTAAGCTTTAGATTCGCCCCTAGGCTATGTTCTGCCTAATTGCCCTCTTAGTCGTTGGCTATTGATTCGAATAGCGTGCGGTAGTCTTTGACGAACTTGAGCCAACCGCAACCATCATTTAGGGTGTGTTGAATGTAGATGTCCGTAGAACCTGGGCGCGTATGGGGTAAAATCGCACTGAAAAAAGAGCGGAAGTCTAGTTGCAGTTGCTTGGTGGCTCAACTGTAAATGTTGTATCTCCTGGAAATTAGCTTCGGACAGTGCAAAAAGGCTGTATCCTCACCCATTTCGACATGAAGACTGGCATGACCGACATAAAAAAACATATGTGAATGGATGAATAAAGCTTAAGGGTAAGTTGTTTTGTAGACTAGAATAATCATGTAATTTCTCTCCGAATCTTCCCGAATACGGAACTGCTTACAGGAAGGGGTAAAACATTAAATTTGATTGATATTTGAAAACATGGGCCGCAACTATTCCAGCTTCGGGACGTATTAGATGATTTAAGGGAAATTGGGGTGCACTAGCTTCTAGCTCCCTGATAACAGCAGTCATGTGATCGCCAAGAATATAAATGATCATTACGAAAGGAATGAAGCAATCAAATAGCCGGCGGTTGGCTTATAGCCCGGATAATTGACTTATCTAAATATGAACAGATATCAAGACCGATATAATAATGTACAATTTAAACAAAACATCTTGGCGCACTGCTCACTCAGCTACACGAGACAGGATTAACGCGGCAATTGGCGAGTTCATCCGCAGAAAATTCATCGGCAACCTAGCCTCACAAGCGTTTAGATTGCCTTATTTTTTAAAATGAAGAGTATTCTTCCGAACTGATGGGTTCCTGCGAACCAACATGGAGTACGTATGTGGTCGAAACACACCGACCTGTATGACTAAACCGTACTAAAACGTTCCCCAAAAAAAAACGATTTGACCCAAGTTCGCCACTGTCTGTGGTCTTATCAGGTTACCTGTCTCCCGTTGGCTTCTAGCGCACCCTAACTAAAGTACCTGAAAAACTCGTTTTTCTAAAAAGTTTCACAGTTAGGAACGTACGCCAAAGTGAACAATGACTAATCGTTATTCCATCGATGATTCGCTGGCTACAGGTCGGGCACAATGATACGCACCTGTTGTGGGCCGCCGCCAGTGGGATTGGCCCCACTTCTCAGGACTGCGATCGGCTTTCCGATTGTCGCAGGAGTCGGTGAACCTGATTCAGCGGCGTTCGGGGTATTGAACGCGGGCAACGCCGTATTGCTCGTCTCATCATTCTCGCCCACGGCTGCATGACCAGCAATACCATTCCCTGCCGCCGCTGTTGCATGCGCTGTTTTCACCGCTAAGCTTTTTTTGCTCATTTCCGAGCGTTGACGGCTTTCGCGAGTCTGAAATAAATGTTTACTTAATCATTGTTTCCTGCACAACCTATCCCCTTGCATTGCCACACACAATTGCCACCGACAAAAAATACCAAGCTCCTATAAATGACGGGAATACAGAACAAGGCCTGCGGAGTATCCAAAAAAAGTTACATACGCATACAACCGCGCGAGCTTTAACGAAGAATGTAGGAAGAGCACTGTCATAGCACTTGCAACACTTAATAAACTTTTAACTCCTTTTTCTTCGCTCAACCGAAACATTGATAGAAAAATGCCTGAGGAGATTCTGTAATCTAATCAATCAAACAATATATATATTGGAATAAAACTTTTAGTGTAACTTTCAGCGAGAAATACGCCAACCGTAGCAAAAGGCGGCGCGTTTTAGCAACTAATTTAAAAGCGCAGAGACTTAAGTAATAATTTGACTGACTAAACCAAAATACATCTATCGCGCGATCATCATCAGATAACTACGATATAAACATATGCCACCGGACAGTATCAAACCGATGTTAGTCATCAGAAAATTTCATTACAAAATAAATCATCAAAACTTTTTTGGAATGGCAAAATAACAGGTTACCTCTGGTGCTTTCTTTGGCTGATCGCGGTTTGGTGACCCGTTTTGGAAGCTAATGGAGTGCCTATTGACCCTTTAATGGTTTTCTACAGGAATGATCGAAATATTAAAAATGAAGATAACCAAAGAAAATTGGAACTGTAATAGTGCGAACTGGCGAGTTTTCTAGATATGACCCGATGTTATGGTCAGTTAGTTATGCCGCTATCAGCACCTATGTGAGGTAAATTATTATAGTCTCGACCGTGGTAGTTCTACTGCCTCGAAATCGGCGAAGCTTTAAGATAGAGCACAACGGAAAACGGGTTAGTTTTTATGCCTTCTATTCGACACGCTCCGTCAAATACATGCTTCTAGTGTAAATGCAAGTCGGTACGAGACTGGTTCCTCAGGCCTTTCTAGTCGATGGTCGGTCCGTCAGAAAATAAGTGACCATCATCCAAGCGTTTGCCACAAATAGAATGCAGCGTATTTATAATATTATATCTCATCGAATGTGACTTGATGTATCCAGTTTGGAAGTCATACTGGAAACGACATTAACCGGGCAGTCCCCGTTTTTTTTTGTATCCTCAATAGGGAATAGCATTTGGTTTGTCAGCGCTTGTATACTGGTGTGATTGACTGCTGGTAATTTGCTCGAAAGCAACATAAAAGGTCAGGCATCGTCGGTGCCCGATTTCTACAGAGAACGCATAGACTAGATAAACAGATTAACACACAACCGAATCACTTTGGCTAGAGACCAAGATTTGTTTCCTGTTTCTAAGATAATTGGCTAACACTCAGCTTTTGTAAGGTGAGTGTTGCTGCACTCTCAGATTGCTCTAACCTACTGCAAGACCTCCAACTTCTCCTCTATTTCCCTTTTTTTCTGGCAGGAGATGTAGACACACAGGACGATGTACCTGCGAGTAGCAACAAACAGGCCAATACGAGCGTAAGCAGTTATTGATTTTGAATGATCGCTTTCGGACGAAATAGAAGTAAAAAGTGTATATGGAAAATTGTATTCGAATCGATAGAAGAATGATCGATTTCCGTGTACCATGTTCCATGCATATAACCTCGTCTGCTTTCATCGGGATAGTTGCTACAGCCAATAATTATTCATCTGAATACGAATTGAGCATTGCCAACTTAGGACGATGATGAGTACGTTGCAAGAATGGCTTTTCGATTAGCCGTTACTATGGAAACTACCACTCAAAACTGTTTTTGGCAGCTTGGGCTTGAAAAGATGCTCGCTAGCTGTACGAATTATGATGACTAGTCATATACGTAGCGCAAAGGCTTCTTTGTCAGTCAAACGGGGCGATTCAAGGTAGTGCGCGGTAGGTACCATCTAGGTATTAGTCACCGTCATTATTATTGAAATTACACAACCTTCCATCTCAATAAAAGCACCAGCTTGCACGCGAGATCGTTTTAGTTACGTTGCAAGTCTGGCTTCTGTCACTTCCGGTCATGTTGTTTCGAAAAATGAAAAATTCAGCTATCATCTAAAGTTTTCCAGCTTTTAGAACATCGTAGAATCAGCTGTATCGTGCGACTCACTGATCGGCGTGAGCACAAGGAACTTCATGTGAACGTCTCATCTTGCATTCGTTCTCCGCGAGAATGTTTCTCACACTCTCTCGGGCGTCGTTGGGTAGGTATCCTTTAGTGTATAGATGGTGCATCTCAATATAGGCACAACCACGTTACTATTCAGTAATACAGGAAGTAGCGAAAGAATGGAAAACTGTATCGCAAACAGAATTTTATATCTCAATTGTCAGAATTCTAAAGCGAACCTGGAACATACAAAATTGTGTTGACTCGATGATAATGAAATGCACTTTTAGGCACCGCTGTTTAAAAAATCGTTGTCGTCACCCCATCTTGGCAACGCGTCATTTGAGGTTTAACACAAAGACTACTATAGAAACTATATCATTTCAGATCATTCACGCGAAATTGATGACCTATGCTTCTAGGAACCACTTTTTTGACGACAAGTTCAGATATACAAGCAAGAAACAGGGGAGCAATTCTCACAGAAGATTTTCGTCCCACTCCTGAGGAGCATTTCTCAGTAGTTGTTTTTAAATTTTACGCCAAAATGTCGTTGCGAATGATTTTTACATAAAGAACGGTGTTTCCTCATATTATGCACGTTGGAATAGCTTCAATCTATTTCTTATATGTGTGGTTTAATGGGTCAGGTATACAGCGGCCATTACTGCCTTTGGCAATATTTTAGTCCAATCTTATCGAAAATAGAGCAGGTCTAGAATGCTTTGGAAGCTAGCCTTATCATTAGGAAATTAGAATTTGCAGCCACTGTTTGAATCTGAAACAGTACAATATTGCACTATTTAATACCAACCTTTTATCACTTATATCACAAGCGCTAGTATAGTCCAATTGTAATTCTGTTCCTCGATATATACATATGTATCACGTACCGAACTGGCCCCCAGGGTGGCAGTTTGTGGTTGTCTTCGAATCTTAGAGATCTTGTGCTACAATCACCGTTGAAGTTCTTGCTTGAAGTTTTGCTGTTACGTCTAGCGTTTCTGTCTTCCTTTCTGATATCTCCTGGCTTCTTTTCCAGCACTAAAAGTGTCCAGAATTTTAAAATATTCCTTGTAAGTTGCAGAGTAAAAATCTTCAAACTCCTCGGTGGATGCAACGCACCATTTTTGGTAGACACTTTTGAGAAATTACACGTTCAGCGTCATGCTGACTCACTACGCACACTGCATGACACAAGAATCGCGGGTGCTCGCACCAGAGCTGTGACCAAACTGCACTCTTGGTCAAGCTGCCAGCGCAAGGCTCGTTCTCTCCTTAGTTAGGGTTACAGGTCCGATGCGACCCTATGGCTGGACCAGGGCAGGTCAGGCCTTCTATTTTCAAAACTGGGTTCAACTCTGTCATGGCTTGTATCGCAAAGTATGGGGAAAACTATTTAATACTCGTCCTCGTAGGCCTTGTAATGTTTCGATATTTTTCTATTATTTATAATCACAAAAACGGTGTACACTTCAAAGGTAGCAACACGCAATTATTTACAAATACTTCGAATGCTGTCCTTCTAGGCACGTTAGAATAGAACTTAAGAAATAGCATTTTTCGAATTTATCGTCGATAAGGAATGCTTCAGTGCACTAATTTTACGAAATTATTGGAAAAATATTCTGTCATCTAACCGTGGTGCTCGAGCGACTGAATGTTTTCTATATTTACCGTTTACTTAGAAAGCACCATGAATGGGTTAGTGTTGCACTGAGACCCAAATTGAACAATTTTTGCCGAGCAGGGTTTATAGTTAAAACTACATTACACAAAGGACACTTCTGGTGTGCTTTATTATTTGGGGAGTTCAATGCTGGAAGAAGCAAGCGGCACTCCTATAAGATGCATCCGCCTGAATTTTTTCGATACAAAAAATAGTTACAAGCTTTACCACAATCGTAACTTCAATCATACACATGTTCACAATCCTAACAAATGTTTATGTAATGAGTCCATTTTGTCCAAAGGATAAACTGTAAAATACAGATAGGACTGGATCTGATTTACTGTATGGCTAGAACGGACTATTAAAAGTGTCGTGAAGTATCTCCCGGTTCTTCGAATTTCTCGCAATTAGGAACTGCCATATAACAAAGACTAACTTAATATCAGGTTCAGTTGGGCTATTAGTTCATTTGAAAGAGCAAGCCTTTTAGAGGTGGGTGTATGGGACAGCGTCAGCGATTTTAGCTCGCGTCACAGCGCGAGCCGCCGTAAAGCCCTATAGGTACCGATTATATGCAGTTTAGAAGTCTGTCACGAGTTAGAAAGCAGAGATGGCAGTTCTACGACGGAGAGTGGTTGATCACAGAGGTCCATTTCCTGGTGGACCTCCCAGAGCCCTGCTACGGCGCCTGCTATTGTATAGCGGTGGCGAGCGGTGTCTGATAATAGCGCCGATCTATGGAGAGTGCTAGGAACTAGAGTATAGCGGCGACCCAGGCTGCCTATGGGTGGGTCCTCCTTACGACAAACGACGGTCGTCGTTTGCTGTCAGCCCTGCTCGGTAACCAGCCTGACTCCCCGCTACATTAATACAATAAAACACCACAGATGGCAAGACAAGGCGGGCGCAGTAACAACAATAACGTGAGTTTTCACGTCTGTATGCACGCCTAAACGGCTCACCCGCTGAGTTACTGCGGTTGAACAGTCCGAGGTTTCTTGGTCTGTTTGGCAGCAATGGCAGTATGGGCTGCTGCACTCGCAACCGCTGCTACTGTAGTAGACGTAGTTGTAGCGACGGTAGCACTAGTAGAAGTAGTTGAGCGTACTAACAAAGAAATGATGCGCACTGGCCTGCCAGATAACGGTGACCGGACATATAAGTTAGTGAGCTAAGCTACGCGGCAAGATG